ATGTGAATGAAAGCTGTGCCCAACTTTTTTCTGAATTAGCTGGCACCGTGCCAGCTGGGTGCCAGCTGAGCTGGCACCGACACTTTGCTCACATAAGTTTTCATACTTTTTTACATAAAATGTATCTACACTGTAAAAGTTTACATATAGAGAAGAAACAATTCATGATGTTTTCTTTCCGGCGTTTTATAGCCATTTGGAAATTACTCGGTCTGCTTCGCAGTCGAAAAATCGGCTTTTTCTGCTCCTCAAGATGTGATTCAAACACTTAAAAAGTTCAGAAAGCTATGAAAAGTTGTTTTATGTCAGCATGCATGAAAACCCTACTACATACTTTTACATAATCTAAAAATAATGACGGGTCTTCAAAACAGGTCAAGAGGGACTTCGTACGAAATTTTCAAGATCAAACGGGACTTCGTTTTGAAAATTTCCTGGTGCCAGCTTGTGCCAAGCTCTGGCTACACAACCTGAATTCCAGATATCTGGAGCTCCAGAATACGATGCTTTCTTTTAAGCTGCGACACCCTCCCCGCGGCGATGTTGATGATTGCGGATTCGGATGTCAACGAATCGATTTGAAATTTGGTACAGCATAGTGTATATCAGTCTACTATCAGCATTTCAGAGCAGTTCCTGTTCTCTTTCTATTACGCATGAAAAAATCTAATATATCGGAAGAAGCAGGCTTGAAAAAAGCAGGCTTGAAAGGTGGCCAAAATTATAGATTCATCCAAGGTTTTTACTCAACAAAGTACTTCTTGGCTTTCAAAGCCATTTATGTAGATATCGTCGATTCGTTGACTGTACGGACTGGACATAACCGTGGAGCACGCGCCGCGAGGTAAAACGCTTGCCCTAATGCAGACTCGCCATTGTTAAACGTGCTCTCGCAACATTTTAACCGCGCCGCGCGTGGTCCGCAGCGGTTGAGCAGTCCGTACGGCCAATGAATCGACGATACATAGTCAAAAGTATAAAAAATTTGCTTCAATTGAGGCGTGCTACACCTTTAAATGAACAGCTTACCTGCTTTTTTTACCTTGAATACTTCCAAACGTAGTTTGACCCTCGAAAATGCGTTTGAGTGGAAAATCTCGCAGTGTCTCAGCTGATTTAGAAGCGACGAGTTTTCATCTATCTTCCATATGCTCAGCGACGTGAGCACTGAGGAAAAATTAGATTTTTCGCTGTTGAAGCAAACTCATTCGAGACTACTGCAGATCTGAGCGAAGTTTCGCCTCTTAATTCCGTTATCGCTGAAGCAGAATCACTTCTCACAAAGAAATAAATCTGTACACTGCTCACAACTGTTCCCAAATTCTCACTTTTTTCATTTCCACAACATCTGCGCAGACTAATGAAAGTGTTGCGCAGTTTCAAAATTTTACCTGTTGCTACCTTTTCGAATTTTCAGGTGTTGCGCAGACACGTACTTAAATTTACATGGCTGCGCAAAGCGCGCCCCATGCCCCAGTGCGGATTTCTCCGGCGCGCAGGATCTTCGCTGTTGGGGCACGCTAGACATTGTGGACTTTATTCTACGCGTAAATAGGTTGAATGAGTGCTGTCACTTGTCTTCCCTGGAGGTCTTCCAGATATTCACACCTCAAATCTAACGTAAGGTTATATTCCGTATATGCTCAGCGCTTTCTCATGGTAATGAAGGCTCACATTTGCGAAGTAGGGGTCTCTTCTGAAATTTCTCTTCGTTTACGTATTTGAAAAAGGTCCACCTTCTGCATTTACCACAGTTTCTTTACTAAGAAGCTGGAGAGAGTATTCACGAAAGTTCCCTGACATCGGCGGCTAAAGCTGTATTGTAGGTGTTGTTGATTTCTGTTCTTACGAGCGAGTCTCTGCCCAAAAACGTGTCGGATAGTGCCAGTCAGTACGATATGTACTTTCTCATAACTCCTATCCAGCGTTTGATGCAAGTCCAATTGAAGACTAGTGGATAGGAGTTCTAAGTTGGCTTCTAACGAAACCAGATCAGAACTTCTTTATTGATTGATTTGTTGAAAGTTATCTTAGAACTTCTATCCAGTTCTTTTCGTTAGAAACCAAAGAAGTATTGGTGCCTCAGTCCATCCTGATAAAGCTTTGACTAATGTTTGAAAAAGGCATTGTAAAGGAGCTCTTAATTTTCGCTGAAATCTAGGGATCAAGTCTGTTTCATAGCAGACATTCTCGATGCTTGCCTGTTTTTCATGAATGCATTGCTGTTTCACATCCATGTGCACCCTCCAAAGAGCAGGAACGGATGGGCTTGAAGCCATCGGGCACAGTCATATGATGATTGGTAACTGTAGCGAAATAGTACTTGTTAAGCATCATGAGGCATGCATAGACGCGTTGAGTTTAGAATAGTGCGCGGATCGATGGATCGAAAAACAAAGGATTTACTGAGAAATCCTCGTGTCATTCACTCACTTCTTCATGTATGTGCTTCTCCGGAACATGGAAATAGAGGCGGTCAAGCAGTTTTCGTTGGTCTTGCACTTAGTGGATTCCATCAACTGTTTGTAAGTGCCGACAACTGTTTGCAAAAATGCATGCTCTGTTGTGTTCTAAACAAAACGTGAAGAACCTGAAGCATTAGTGGACAGTAACTCCAAACTAATTCCGTCCATGGTCTTTGCAAGGCACCCCTCATTTTAAACAACAATTCTCGAAACTGGTTGTATGAAACCGCATTTACCTTTTCTTCAGATAGAGTTTGGCCTATAAGTTTTGATGGGGACAAATTGACCGATATTTAAGTTAACATTTCAACAAGCAATCCATCTGGAGGCATGAACGAAATGGTTCTTGATCAAGAAAGCCCTGCTCCTGTTTTTCTTAAGTTGACAATTAACGTCTGTGCGATGAAAAGCGAACGCATGCCAAAAAAACATGTGTGACTTGAAATCATGAACCTTCTTGTACGCCACACAGATTTATTATCATGTTTACCTGTGTGGCTTACAAGAAAGTTCATGATTTCAATGCCCACGTTTTATAATCAGAGAACATACTATAACATACCAGTGTGACTGTCTAGCGCTCTATTGAATGGGCCAATGAATCCGAATTGTTATTTTGCACCAAATGAGATGGAACAAACATCCGTCATCTCATAAGCATAGTACTCAGAACCATCGGGAAAGTGTATGTACAAATACTCCACGTTATAAATGCAACCTTGCGCAAGCCACAGTGGTCACATTTCCACCATGATCAAGCAATGTGACCAATGATTCTTTGCTTATCAACTACGTAGATATGCAAAGAATCACTGATTACATTGATTCCACGGTATGCAAAGACTCCTCGGTTACATTGCCTTCGCTGTGTGCATAAAATCATAGAGTTCAAAGTATAAGCTCCTGCAAGACGAAGGCGGTTGGTTCGAGGCGCGACGTGGCTGTGACGCGGCTGTGACGCTGCTGTGACGAAGCTATGTCGCAACCGCGTTGCACATCGAACCAACCGCCTTCGTCTTGCAGGAGCTTATACCTAGCGTGCTCCGGCATCGTAAACCATGCGCGCTGGCTAATTTAGCGCCGGGTCATGGTCGTGTTGTTGCGCAGTTTCAAAATTTTACCTGTTGCTACCTTTTCGAATTTTCAGAAGTATTTACCTACTGAACAGTGAAAAAAAGCTTATATTGTATACTACCGCGTGATCCTCTTCATGCTTTTGGATAGAGCCAGTATCACTTTAAGGTTTGTTTGTAGTCGACATTTGTAGGGTGATTTCAGCGATTATGCCTACATTCTAGAATTTTGTAGAATTCTCAAATATGTAGGGACTACCATTTATACATACAATGCCCCTACTTTAACTCGCGCTCAGAAGAGCAGTGCAGAACGAATTTGAGGGCAGAAATTCGAGCTCAGGCTTGCAGTGATATTAAATTGAGTTTGCCTTAAAAGGGATCCGAATTTTTAGGTGAGAGAAGGAAGTCCGCCAGTTTGGGCCGACTTCGAGGACTACTGGTGCAACGACATGCAATAGCATTGCAAAAAGACCAGTTGCCAGCGAAGGCGGCTCAAAACTGGCGGAGTTCGTTCCCCTACCCGAATTTTTCCTCAGTGCTCACGTCGCTGAGCATATGGACGATAGATGCAAACCCGTCGCTTCTAAATCAGCTGAGAAACTGCAAGATTTCCCATTCAACCACATTTTTAAGGATATAAGTACGTTTGAAAGTATTTTCAAGCTGAAAGAACAGGTAAGCGTTTCTTTTGAAGATGTAGCACAGCTCATTTGAAGCAGATTTACGCTTTTGACTATGTATCTACATGAATTACTTTGGAAAACCAAGGAGAACCTTGCTGAATAGAAACCTTGGGTGGATCCATAAGTATGGCCAGCCTTCAGGTCTGCCTTTTCCAATACTTTTGATTTTTCGCGCGTAATAGAAAGAAAACGGAACCGCTCTGAAATGCTGAAAGTAGATTGATGTATAGGTCATTTCTGAAACCGTGACGACGGATTTGACTGCGGTCAGCGCCCACAGGAGCATAAAACACTTATACAAAAAGTCATCACCTCAAAGCTCAACTCGGTCACTTCCAGTGGTAAATACTATCACACGTGAGCAGAGAAACTATTCACGTAGCGATAAATAAAAACCAAGAAAATGCGGTTTTCAGAAGACGTGTGCGTGTTGCGCGCGGTCGCGCCATCGTCACGATTTTTCGAATGCCCTATACACATAGCTGTACCAGACTTCAAATCTATTAGTTGACAACCAAGTGATTTATGGAATTCTTTAAAATGGATCTATAGTTTTGTTCAGCACTGTAGGACCAGCGCGAGCCTTCGCGAAGCAGAGACGACGCATTGGTGTACATATAAATTGTGAGTATGGTCTCGTTCTTAGGCGACTTTGGTAGCAACTCAATTTGTATTTTCACCTCTTACATCGCACGTCGGTGGTGTAAGAGGTACACACCAATTAACTTCAACATTCCATTCAGATTCTTCTCTAATCAACAAATTACATAATACAAGACGTAGCATTTCTTTACTTCCAGTGACTGAAAGAAAAGCATACACAACTGAGCAAGGAAAAAAGTCACCGGTAGCGATCTCATGACAAAAACACGAAACTAGCAAATGTCTGCACTCATACAATAAACCCTAGAACATCTCCTAACTGATTACCACACATCTGTCACTACCACTCCGGTGTCAGACCGGAAATGTAAATTTCCAAAAAAAAGAGGAGATGATAGTTTCGCTCAGCGGAACACACGTAACACAGAATACGATATCTCTCGTAATCGTTGAAAGATTCCATTACCTCCTTTTTGTAGTTTTCTTCAAAATTATGTACTCTGTACTTTGCTGATTGATGGTACAGCGCCAAAAAGTGAGACACCAAAACAATTTCGGAGGGGCACTCTGTCGCAAGCGTCAATCAAACTACAACCACATGAAAACACTTGAATGGATAGCCTAACGAAAAAAATTAGATCAAAATTGTATCTAGGAATCTGAAGCACCGGAGTAGCACATAATACCTATCAACCATATCACAAATTTGGCGAAATGGCCTGCCACTCACTTCTAGAAGACGAATCGGTTTGCTTACGCTGCGGCAATGCTAATCAATCGTCCTGGCATCCCTTTTTTCGCTCGGCACAGTCACAACTATCTTGTCAGGGTCGTCGGAGTCCACTTGAATCTGAAATTCAGACAATGGAGACATGATAGTACCTCTCAAAAGTGAGTTATAGGAAGATCTTCAAATAATACAGACAGAGGCTCACCCAAAGTTGGTATAACCCTCCTTGTCAAACCACGCTCCAATTTCAAAACTCATGTATTGATGATTCGTACTTGATAGTTGTGCGAAACAATGCTAATTGTGACTGCATTTTTGAACAGTTATCGATGGATTCGATTCGCAATTCTACAATATCTTCCACAAAAAAGTAAGTAGCTACTAAAAGCTTTCTCATCAGATTCTCATGAATGCTCTGCCCACACGAAATAGGCATCTTTATCATATCTTCAAAACGCAAAAAGTAACGGGCTCGAAAAATATCTTTCGCCCTTTGCTATGTTTTTTGTTTTGTTTTGCAATGACAAGAATCTTTCTTCCACACATTTTAGTCAGTTATGAGCAGAGTTCCATATAAGAACCTGCAACTTAATCAGCGAGGATTTTTGAGAAAGCCAAGTACATTCTGGTTGGGGCGTGCAAAATGTTTAAACTACTAAATAGATTCGAGCGTTAGTATGCGAAAATGAGGCAACCTGTGGCTCCATGTCGTATGGCAAAGCCCCCAATAAGATAACATACAAAGAAAAAATAAAGACCACAGTGTATCCCACGATTTAGAAGAAAAAATTGAATATCCAAAGGATAAAAATTATATAACGACGAACTGACCTGACAACCTAATCGGGAATAATCGCTGAGCTCAGGAGCTAAATCAAGCAGGTCCATTTCTTCTTCTCCAGGAGGGCTGATCCGATCTACTCGTTGATAATGCTCTGGCGACAGGATAACGTGACATGTACAGCAAGCAAGAGTTCCTAGAAAGAAATCTTATGAAAACTATTGAGGATTCTGGAATATATTCCAGATGAAAAAAAAAAGAAAGCGATCATCTGCGGGTAAGTTTACATCAGTGATAAACGATATAAGACATTGTAACTAAGCTTTATATTTAAACGATGCGCATGATTAATGGAAGATATGGAGAATGATTGAGCAAAAGTGGTTTACAATATTTTCAAAACTGCCTTGGCAAAAAAATAACAACGGAACAGCCTTCCGCTCACCTTCACAAGCTCCAAAACCATCAAGCGGTAAGTCGTTATTTATAACAACATCCAAGAGTGTATCACCAAGCTAAACGCAAAGTTCTATTTAATAAAGTCGTGATTCATAAAAATATCACCTACCTTTGCCTTCCCAACATATTTTTGATCTCCGCACTGAAATTCCACTTCTTTTGTGGATTCTGCTTTGACTGGTGTAGAACTAGTAGTACTCAATGGCGCAAAAGACTTCAGCAATGGGATACTCCTCGAACTTCTCAGTAACAAAGAAATCGATCTAGCCGATAGCATTATGGCAAACAGACGGTGGAAATGAAAAAACGACGCCGCATCGAACGAACTATGACGTGATCACATGACGCGCCCTAACGACAAGCGGACGAGTGCACACGCCCTTTATGAAGTACCGCGGTCCGCGGTACTGCGCGCATAAAGTCCACATATTTACGGGGAACGGTCAGGAGTCACGGTCGGCGCGGATTTTTCGCGAAGCGATGCCGCAAGCGATGTCAGCAAAACTGAAGCCAGCACTCCTGGCGCAGTCTTACTTATGGCACGAGCCATGTATCTGCCCCCACCCCCCACCCCCCTAGACTGGCGCCGTGCCACTTTAGCACCGGGCAGTTTCATAGGGTACAAAATTTAGACGCGACGTGCGCGGCGAAGCGGCGCGGCGCGCGGCGTGACTCCTGACATGGAGCCATATTTACGAGGGTTCGTTTTGAGGACAAGCAGGTGTCGGAGTAAAGGGAATGTTCGTTCATCCGCGCGCATCATCCCTCACTATTACATATTTGTCACGTTGCATTGACTATGCTCGCCTCGTAAAGTTCCCGCAGGTACCGCTAGCAAGCTCAACTTGCTGCCTTTCGCTTTCAAGACGTTTTCCCGGGGAGTCCTAGTTCCCTGCCCGGCAAACGTGTTGAAATGAGCGAAATACAGCGAGCTAACGATAAGCTTCCAAAGGGTGGCATTAGGGGCGCCGTTCCACATTAGTTGACCCAAAAGATGAAAATCGTGGATTTCGCTAAAACTTCGTCTAGGGAGGTTATTTGGTACGCTGAACACGAATATGATGTTTATTTCGTGCGACAGCGTCATCCGGTGGAGTTAGTAGGATTACGGTAGGGTGTCAAAAAACACAGATTTGCCCACAACTTCGTCTAGAGGGGTTATTCGGCCCGCTGACGCTGAATATCACATTGATTTTGTACCGTAGCGTCATTTTCTCAGGCTACGGTGGGTATACGGTAGGGGGTCAAAATCTCAAAATCCGCTGTAACTTTGCACAGAGGGCTTATCCGACATACTGATTAGAAATGTCACACCCTCTGCGCACGAAGACATCTCCCTGCATAGTTACGTGTGCCGACATTGTCGGCACTTCCTAACAACCGTATCTTTATCCTCACCGAAGTACCTTACAGGTCATGCCATAAGCATGACCTGCTGTGATAGTGTGTTATGTTACTCACCACGCCCATTATGGTCAGCATTCTACCACAGCACCAACGTGTGCAGGTCGCCTGTCTCAATAAAGCTTATTAGCTATGTGTTCTATATAACACACTCTACCAGGCGCTATTTCGCCTAAGGCCACCATAGAGCCTACGAAGCACCGATACATTTGGTGCATCGGCCAAATAAGACCGATACGTGCTTGCTCAAAAAAGCAGCACAACTACAACAGCGATGAGGATTTCGCCTTTCCTCATAGATGTATTCAGAATATCCACCACGGAACTCGCGGAACTATTGCAGAAGTACGCCTGCCTTGGTGAGAAAATTATTCTTCCAGATGGCAATCGAGAGCGGCAAGAATTATGCGCTCAACATCTGGATTCACTAGCGAGGTGCAGAATGGAAGTTGAAGATGCCATTGAATCGCTAAAAATGGATTACGACATATTGATGGAAAGACGTGAGGAAATTAAATCCGAAGCTGCGAAGAAGTTAATGGCGGAGCAATGGGATGCGCTGGAAGAAGAGATAAAAATTTTTGAAACCATTTTTGACGCTAAAAGGTTTCTATTCATCTTGCAAGAACGCATAGCAGATGATATGCTAGAGTTAGTAGGAAGCGGAAGGAAGTTTTCTAACGCAAGGCTTATAAATTGCATGGAAAATTCAAACGGACAAACTTTGCTCAAAGGAAACGATGAGGACAACAACAAGCTGGAGGTTTCACACAAAGGACTGAGCAATGATACAATGATCTACGGCCCCGACAACGACGAAACAGGTAACGATGACCTTAACGAAATTCACAGTGAAGGAGATGTCGACAGCACCTCGCCAACTATTGCAAATGAGCATCCGAGGATGGAGGTCATGATACCGAGATTGCCGCAGGCAGACGAGTGCAATGATCTAACTAATGGTCTCTCTGTGAAGCAGCATCTCGAATGCAAGGACGACGACAAACGAAACATTGCTCAAAATTCTGCATATTACCCGTCGCCGGAGAAGGATTTTCAAAGACGTCGTCACAATCACATTTTACAGTTGCTTCTCCTTCATCGCCCCATCAATGCTGCAACGATAATTCTGTCGTTAGCTGCTTCAAAATCATTAGCGATCCTTCACGGCAACGACCATTACGTGATCCTGACAAATGGAGTACGCGATACGGATGTAGATTTGTTCCGTTATTCTCTTCCTTTTCATCATCATGCCCGGCCGGAGTGTGCCGATATAACCGACACCCCTTTATCGCATAGGTATATGTTGTACTTGTAATTCATTTCATTGCTCTCTTTCCTCCCGCTGGCCGGAGTGTGCCGACATTGTCGGCACTTCCTAACAACCGTATCTTTATCCTCACCGAAGTACCTTACAGGTCATGCCATAAGCATGACCTGCTGTGATAGTGTGTTATGTTACTCACCACGCCCATTATGGTCAGCATTCTACCACAGCACCAACGTGTGCAGGTCGCCTGTCTCAATAAAGCTTATTAGCTATGTGTTCTATATAACACATTCTACCAGGCGCTATTTCGCCTAAGGCCACTATACGGTAGGTTTGCGGTAGGGGTCAAAATCACAAATCGACAAATGTACAATCTTTTTCAACCCGGAATAGGCGAAACATCCAAGTGGAGCAGCGCATCCGCACCGCCACTGGCTCAGCGAGGTAGATTAGAATGAAGAGATGCATACTGCAAAGCGGCGCGAATCGCTGCGAAGCGGACTCCCGCCAGTCCAATTTCCACCTAGATAGAGTTGGAACTTACTACATCTTTCCCCTGTGCTTTTGCTTAGGCAAAAGCCGCAGCAAGGTGTGTAGCGCGCGGCGGTGGACGTGTGCGAAAAGCTTCACGATCGTCCGAATCGCCGTATACCCATTTCAGGCAGAACTACGTTTTACACCCGTTACCGTGTAGCTACCGTAACCCGAGAAAATGACGCTACGGTTCAAAACCAATGTGATATTTGGCATCAGCGGGCCGAATAACCCCTCTGGGCCAAGTTTTGGGCAAATCCGTGATTTTGACCCCCTACCGTAATCCTACCGTAACTCCACCGGATGGCGCTGTCGCACGAAATAAACATCATCTTCGTGTTCAGCATGCCAAATAACTCCCCTCCCCTAGACGAACTTTTAGCGAAATTCGCGATTCTCATTTTTTGGGTCAACTAATGTGGAATAGTACCGCATAGGGCATTCATAAACTGGTGACGGCGGATTTGACTGCGGCCTTTGCGCCCAGACGCATAAACTACTCATACAGAAGGCATCACATCAATGCTCAGCTCATCTCTTTCAGTATCTAAATGCTATCATGTATGCAAAAAAAACTATTCGAGTCGAGATAGAAGCCGACGAATGCAGTTGCGCGAAATGCTTACGCAAGGCGAGGTCGCGTCATTGTCACGATATCATGATTGCCCCATACCATTACATGTCAACGTTGTTGGGGGAGAAACGATATTTGATACTCCACAAATTGGCTCAGCAACTCGAAATAATGCTGGGTTGCCTAAAGGAAGCATTTGTCCCCCTGAACATCGATGGGAGAGGTTGCGTGCCGCAACGGTTTTGGAGGGCAAGGGCGGTGAGCAGAGGTGCGATAGTGGGAGCCGATTTTCCCCCGCCTTCACTTTTGAGCTGGTACAGGGTGCACACCTTCACTTTTATTATGAAAAATTTTTTTCGCTGAACGATAAAGAAGGGAAATAAGCAAAACAAACGCAAAAAAGATTACTGAAAGCATATTATGCATAGCTATTATGCACACAACGGTATATATATTCAAAATAAACATGTTTAGTAAATGGTGTATTTGGAAGTAAGAATGAGCGGGACTGTACGGATTCTATTAAGTAAATTTTGTCATAACGTACTGCGAAGGTAGGTCGATTCAAGGAATAACCGCCGAGAACCAGAATTTTGAATAATAAAGTAACGAAAAATCATGCGAAATTTCCACTGTTATAAATCTGGTGTTTGAAGATGTCATTGCGACTTCATAGGTTTTGAGGAATAAATGGTGTTCTATCAGATAATGAAAAAATCGAGTGATTTTGAGAGATATTCGCCTAAAACCAGATTTTAAAAAAAAAATTACGTCATTTCAGCGTGTTTAATGACAGCTGACAATTAAACTCATATAAATCTTGACTGTGAAAGTATGTGATGTTGCGGCTTCATAGGTTTTGTAGAGTAAGGTCTGCCTTATCATAATATATGTTAGCCGTACCGACCCATTGAAACAGCGCCGAGATCCAGGGTCTTGAAAAAGCAGGTAAAAAAGCGCTTTTTGAATGTTAACAGCTCATAACTTCTCCAGAACTGCATGAATCATGTTGCGACTTCATAAGTTAGATTCTTCTCATCAAGAACTTTCAGAAGATGCATAATGTGTGGGGGTTTAAGGCCCCTGCCACTTATGCCCATGGTGTGAGACTTTTCATCCCGAATTCTCCCCCCAGCTCACTTCAATGTACTGGGTGGAGGCCGCAACATCACACACCTTCTCCTTCAAGATTTATATGAGTTCAGCTGTCAGCTGTCACTAAACAAGCTAAAATGTCGCAATTTTTTTAGAATTCTGGTTTTCGGCGAACATCTCCCAAATCGACTCGATTTCCTGACTGTCTGATAAAGCACCATTTACTCTTCAAAACCTATAAACTCGCAATCTGACATTTTCAAACATCAGATTTATAACAGTGGAATTTTCGCACGATTTTTCGCTACTTTATTATTCAAAACTCTGGTTCTGGGCGATTACTCCCTGGATCAATCTACTTTCTTTGCTGCGTTATAACAAAATTTACTTAGTAAAATCCGTACAGTTCCGCTGAGTTTTACTCCAAATACACCATTTGATAAGCATGTTTACTTTAGGTATTTATGCCGCTGTATACTAAAAATATGCCTTCAATGATCTCTTTTGCATTTTTTAGCTTATTTTCCGCGCACTGGTGGCAACG